AAAGAAACAATAAAATAAAAGGTTCAATTAAAAAATTCATATTGATAATTGAACTTTATTTTTTATAAAATTGTAATTTAAAATAATTAAATGAATCTCATAATATTCAAAATTAACATTGACTATACATTATGATACATTCAAAAAATTGAATATAGCTTATCTATACATGAGTTATACACTGACTATACGTTATGATACACTCAAAAAATTAAATATAATTTAAATGTACACGAAGTATGCATTGAATATACTTAAAATGTACACTGATTATTCAATTTCGATCAGTTCAAAATCTCCTCTAAACAATCTCAAGTTTTAGATATGAAATTATCTCAATATTTTAAATCTTTTGATATATGATTTGTTCGAAAGAATTTATATTTATGGTATATTAAATTTTAAAGGAAGAGGAGGAGGAAGAAGGACAATCAGCAGAAAAAGAAGGAAAGAAGAACAGAGGAAAGACAACAACCAAAAATATCGCTATTGTTGAATGATCATTTTAGGTAACTATAAAAATGGGCTAAAAAATGAAAAGTAAAGCTTATGGCCTGTCGTTTGACATTTCACATGATATATTAAGAAAATATTTATCAACTTAAGCAATAATATCTTTTTTACTGGGTATTTATAATATAAATTTAAGACATTTTATATTGAATAATTTATAAAACACATATAATACAAGTTTTATTCATTTATCATTTATCACATTGTAAAATTAGGTCTTAGACCTAACTCACACCCTAAAAGTTAGCTCAAAGGGAGGAGGATTGCCTAAGCCTTAATAAGGAGTCCACTCATCTCGTTAACCACCGATATGAGACTTTTGTCATTCTGTAACATCCCATCTCACGCCCAATGCTTAGCATCTGGTGCGTGGACAATTTTGATTTTGGGGGTCCCAACATCGGGTGAGTAACTTACACCCCAAAAGCTAGCTCAAAGGGAGCAGGATTGCCCAAACCTTATAAGGAGTCCACTCATCTCATTAACCACCGATGTGAGACTTTTGTCATTCTTTAACCCTTATAATACATTATTTCAATTTCTTGCCAAACAGGTATTATATATTTTAAATACTTATAGCACATTTATATTTGCATGCAGAATTCACTTTGAATACATGCAACAATTATCATAGCATTGTTATAATTGGTAATAAATAAAAAGTATCTCTAAAATCAGTAATTATTTATTAAACGGAAAATGACTTAAAATATCCTCATCTATTCAAATTGGTACAAAACTAGTCTCCTTCCACCTTTTGGCCCCCGAATACCCTTAATGCCAATCTTTTGTCTCAAAAGGTTGAACGGATGACAATTTTATATCAATTCAAATAGTTGAGGAACATTTTAGGTCATACTCATTTATGAAAAAGTACTTTTCCTATAATAATAAGATCAATTTTTACATATATTGTATGTTATACCTATAGTTAACATAATTGCGCTTCATAACAAATTTTATATTTGTTATGCATCCTTTGATTTGTACAATTCGCTAGACACTTCCAATTTATATATTAATTTGTCCAGTTTTGTATAAACTCATCTATACAATTGGATAATTTGTATATAAAATGTTTCCTGTAATTTGTATATGTACGTGTTCTTTGGATAAGTGTATACGTGAAATCAATATGCAAATCTCTCTCTCGCTTTTTATTTGACACAAATTATACAGTGTAATTAGTATATTTATAAATCCAGAAAGAGAGAAAGACAAAAGAGAACTGGACAATGGAAGATATGTATTTGTACAAGTATAAGTGTATAAGACAAAAATATATATATTTGTGTAACTATATATATACTTTTCTCTTATTTTATACAAACAAAACACATTTCATACATTTGTATACCGAATGAATAGTTGTATACCAAAAACAGATAATTATATACTGAACCCGATGGCAAAAAAATGAGATGTTTGCTACGAATTACAAATAAAATAAACTATGACTATAACATTTAATTTAAACTAATAATTTTTTTATTTTATATAATTTTCCCTAATAATAATAATAACAAATCACCAATTACAATTGGACCCGATTGCGGCCCAATTTTTGCACTAAGTAGTGGGAAATTTAATATCAATTCAAATAGTTTGAGAAACATTTTAGGTCGTACTCCTTTATGATTTTTTTTTTCTATAATAATATAATAACAAATCACCCGACCCAGTTGTTGCCCAAACTTTTGCACTAAGCTCATTTTAGTAGAAAATTTTATATCAATTCAAATAGTTAAGAAAATTTTTAGATTGTACTCGTTTATGAAAAAATTATTTTTTTTATAATAACAAATCACCCATTACAGTTGGACCCAATTGTGGCCCAACTAAGCCCATCTCAGTGGGAAATTTATATCAATTCAGATAGTTGAGGAACATTTTAGGTCGTACTCGTTTATGAAATAAAAACTTATTCCTATAATAATATAGGGGAAGATTGTATGGGATGACAAACATCCCTAAGTAATTATATAATAAGGGAAAGTTTAATTTATTTACTTTCTATAATTATAATTTTTTTATTTTTTTGCCATAATTAATGAGACCCATCACCTTTTTTTATACTAACCGTAAAAAATCTTTTTTGATTTTGTATATAAATTTATACAAATCAATTTTATCTCTCCTATTTCTACTCCACCTCTTTCTCCTATAATCACTCATTCACTCCGATTTTGAAATTCAAATCGGCAAAAATTTCACATACTCGCTACGGTATTGATTTCATCTTTCACAGGTAACCGCCAAAATTTAGCCGTGAATCAATTTTTATTTTATTTTTTCCTTCTTCAACAATTGTATATATATTGTGCTTCTTAATTTTTTTTATTTTTTTTGTTAAAATAATCGTTCTTTCTTATTAGATTATAAATTCTTCAAAATCAGAATAGATGAATCATCTTCATTTATGAGGACTACCAAATGTATGTCATTGCATGTCAATTTTGTTGACAAATTACTCTCGTTTTTAATGAATTTAACTCAAGATTTTGGGATCTATCCATATAAGTTCAAGATGAGCAATCAATGGAAGAATTGAGATCCAAGAAAAAAAATGACCCAATGGTAGTTCAAAAAGTTATTAACAACGTCATAGCTAGCGGCATTAAAATTGTCAAAGGAGGAACAAAGAGGAAAGCAATAACCAGTGATTCACAGGAGAGTGAATCTGAAATTGACAGATTCAAAGAACATCAGGATCAGGAGGTAGTGTCTTAAAACACAATTTTAATCAATCAAGATATCTAATAATTCTAATAGTAATCAATCGCGAACATCTTCATCAGATCTTCTTGATTGCATAAAATAATTTTGTATATAGCAATTTGTATATTTTGATGGTTACATACAAAATTGCTTGAGGTATATGTAAATTTTTTTATGTATTAACAAATCTAAAGAATATCAGGTAATTGTATAAAATAAATTTGTATATAGCGATTTGTATATTTTGGTAGTTATATACAATTTTTTTGAGGTATACGTATATTTATATATATATATATATATATATATATATAAGTACTATATTTATATACATATAATCCTATACATATAGAGTTTATATTTTGATAGTTATATACAAAAAAATATTTGAGGTATAATATGTATATTTCTGTATATTTAAGTACTATATTAATGTACACATAATTATATACATATAGAGTTTATAGTTATATACAACCATATACATATAGAGTTTATAGTTATATACAACCATAAATAGTTCTTATTTATACAAATAGTTTATATGTGTAACGTATATAATTGAAAATATTAATTAATTGTATAAATATTCGATTTACATATTGACATATACTTTTTATCGTTTTCATAGGGATTTATTTTCATTTGGAAATAACCACGAAAATACGCCCCCCACATGCAGTGGTATACATATACAACTCATACATATAACATTACTCGATTTTTTTAACCAACAATTAGAATAGAATTGTTAATATACAATTTGTTTATATTTTTATGACCAAATATAACTACTTGCAATTTTAAAAATTTCAATTATATACTATGCAAATCAATCTTATTTTTTTTCACACTTTAAAACATGAAGTTTTCTTAAAAGAAAAATATACAAGAATATTGACGAACCATGAATTTTTCATTTTATATTTGCTTTTGTGGTACGAGGATAACAATTGTTATGATGTTTGTATTGTTATAGAACTCTTTTTGAAAAAATATTTGATTTGAAAGATTAACTTGAATCATGGGATTATGCAAGTATTTTGTTACCTTATTACCGTTCATGTATCCATTTATTAAGTAGAATATTACATAAATTATGAAAAATGCACAAGTACCCTCCTATACTATGTCTGAAATCACAGAGAAACACCTTAACTAAATAAGGTCCTATTACCTCCACCCCCTCCCCTTACACTTATTTTTTGTAACTTTGTGCACCTTTTTAGCTTACGTGACGTGACATTCAAATATCTCGTACGTGTCTCAATCGCGTGGAGCCACGAAGCGTGCCACATAAGACAAAAAGTGCTCAAAATTACAAAAAAAAAAAGTTCAGGGGTAATAGGAAGTTAATTTAATTAAGGTGTGTCTCTAGAATTCCAGTTATAGTCTGGGGATACTTATGCATTTTCCTCATAAATTATAAACAAAAAAAACTTAATATGCAAATTAAATGCTCCATAGCAAACTAAATTATACTCATAAAATATAATTATATAAGACAAAAAGTGCTCAAAATTACAAAAAAAAAAAGTTCAGGGATAATAGGAAGTTAATTTAGTTAAGGTGTGTCTCTAGAATTTCAGTTATAGTCTGGAGATACTTATGTATTTTCCTCATAAATTATAAACAAAAAAAACTTAATATGCAAATTAAATGCTCCATAGCAAACTAAATTATACTCATAAGATATAATTATATAAACTATACTTATATAAGTTATAAATTTTCAGTGTGGCCCAATTTTTGCACTAAACCCATCTGACCGTTGTTTTGTGTCATTTCCAAAAACTAGCCGTTGCTTCTTCCACTATGTTTCTCAATTCTCATAAAAACCCTAAATTCATCTCTGATTCTCTCACAAGCAATCAATCTCCATAACCATTTTTCTACTTCTATTTCCTAATCTGAAAATGGCGTCAAGAACAGCCTCCAAAGACATAATCACACTTCGTGGTTCCGCCGCAATCGTCAGTGAATATTTTGGCTATGCTGCAAACAGGTAACAACTCGGAATTCCTGTTTTTTTCATATCAAATTTTGGTTATGTAGACTTGCACGTTGTTCACATAGTGATCGGATCTCAGATTTAGATAGATTTCACAAAACCCCTAAATTTGCTTTGAAAATTAATTATCAACCTGAAATTCAGCCCAATGAAATTGGGTTTGAACAGATTAGTAATGAAATTGGATTGAATAGATTTCATCAATCGATACGTTGTTGATTTTCCGATTGATTGAATAAAATGCTTTGTGTTCTTCGTTTATTTACCTGCATTGGACTAAAATGGGCTACAATAGAGCGGATGAATTGATTTATCTGACTGATTCCAATTAGTTTTACGTTGGCCATCGGCCATTGTTGATTGATTAATTCCTTTTATGTTCGTTGTTTATGGTTTTGTCTGAATGCTGATTTTTTTTTTTTGAATTTGTGCGGGGATTATGTATTTAGCATTTTGTACAACAGAGGAGTATATCCTGAAGAAAGTTTTAAGAAAGTGAAGAAATATGGTCTCACAATGTTGCTTACTGAAGATGAAGGTGTCAAGACCTTTGTTTCCAACTTGACTGCCCAACTTGCTGGTAAGTTGTAGAATTTTGACGAGGCTGTAGATTGGTTCAGATCATATATTAGGTAGTGAAATGATTGTTTTCTTAACGATTTTGTTCATGTAGAGTGGTTGGAAACTGGAAAGCTACAAAGGGTGGTTCTTGTCATCATGAGTAAGGCCTCTGGTGAGGTATTAGAAAGGTGGAATTTCAGTATCGAAACTGATAGTGAGGTTGTCCAGAAAGGGTAAGATGTTAATCATCTTTGGTTAATAATTGTGGATTGAAAGAAGTGTATGTTGGAGTTATTATGGCAGAAGACCTATAATTTCGTTCGTGTGCTTAAATAGTCCAGAGCCAAATACTCAACCCTGGCTTGCTTTTGATGTCTTCGTATGTTGGATTGTTTGTTAAATAATTAGCTAAATGGTTTATTTGATTTTCCAGTGTTTCAAGAGAGAAAAGTGATAAAGAAATAATGAGGGAAATTCAAGCGATTATGAGGCAAATAGCGTCCAGCATCACTTATTTGCCGTGCCTTGAGGAACCATGTAAGCATCATTTGTGCTTGGATGTTACGATACAATGGCAATGTTGCTTTTTTGGGATGTTTCTTGATGAGATTTCTTGTTTCATTTGTGTGTATGGCTGTAGGTGTGTTTGATGTGTTAGCATACACTGATATGGATGTTGCAGTTCCATTCACTTGGATTGAGAGTGACCCTAAACTGATTGCGAATCCACAAATGGTGAAACTGCACTCTTTTGACACTAAGGTAGGAGCAATTTGCTGCTTGATTCTGATACGAATCCCCTGGATATTTCGGTGACCCTAACTCGAGTTTTGTTTTCTCTATGCAGATTCATAAGGTTGACACATTGGTTTCATATAAGAATGATGATGAATGGGATGAGTCCTAGACCATGGATCCTTGTTGTACCTTACTTTTGTTGTCATTGTGAATCATTGATTCACATTTTGTATGTTAGATTGTGTAAACCTTGAAACATCTATTAGTTTGTATCCTGAATGAGTATTGAAGGAAATTGAACAATTAGATCAATTTCTCCGTGTGAACATGTTTTTTGCCTTGTGAAATATATTTGGGTACTTTTTTACACGTCCTTGTTGTCTACACATTGCCATAGCACATAATAATGTTGTTTGCGTCGGCTTGGATTTATACGCAACTCAAATTATGTTGAAATTTTGGTTTTTTTCTTTCTTCCGTCTCCCCCAACTACGCAGGCAATTTCTTGAACGGAGAAAATAAATACTTTTTTTGACTTTTGAAATTTGCCTTCAACATTCTCTAAAAAAGAGAGGTAACGGGGGAAGAAGATCAGTGTGCCTTTTTTATTCTTGCATACAAAGTTATCATGCCGTTAAAAATAAATAATCAATTAATGTCATGATCTTTTTGTCGAAGTTAACGGATTGCGCATAAATTATAGTGTTTTTAGTCTAATAAAATAAGAAAGTAATAAAAAAATTTGGATCCTCATGAATCGGGAAATTTGAACCCGACGTGAATCGAACACGCAACCTTCTGATCTGGAGTCAGACGCGCTACCATTGCGCCACGGATCCTTGGATGGCTAAAGTCTTCCATTTTTGATAATCATTACATCTCTGTATTATTTTGGGAAGTGGATGAAATAATAACAATAAGAAGAAGAAGAAGAAGAAATCAATCTTTGATGTTATTTTTTTAGTTTTATTTCTGAAATATTTATTATCAGCACAATTGTTTTTTCTTTAAGGATATTTATGATTTGGTTTCAGTCAGTTTTCGTTAAAAGTTAAAATATAAAAACAAACAAATTTAATAAAATTTTAAATTAATAATATCAAAGTAAATATATATATAATTTGCATTCATCAATTAGTTATTATTGGTTCAATTTTTCAATGTAATTTTATTAAACATGATATGCATCGCTTTTAATTTTCCCTATAAGAAAAGACCTTTAATCATTTGCTAATTTATAATTTGGTATTAACATTTAATTAGGATGACTATAACATTAAATCTCTATGATTTATAAATTTTATAGTATTTTTTTTGAATTAAATTGATAAGAAATACGAAAATATATATCTAGGTACATCTCACAATAGTTTAATTTTGAATAAATGAGTTTGCATTCGAGTTTATATAAAGTTTATTAACCTTTTAAAGATAAATAATTTTTTCATCAAAAAATATGTGAAATATTTAAATTTATTTTAAAAGGTCATTTAGAGCTGTCTAAGATAGACACTAGCTTAGTGAACCCACTTTAGCTCAGGTCCCGTATCTTGACAAATATTACACCAACTTTTTAGTTTGACAATATATTGAACTTCATGTAGTGGCTCATATGATTTATGTTGATTTTAGTATTTGCATACTTCAGATAAATTTTTTTCCAGTTATTGCATGACTTTGTACTTATATTTTTCAAATCAATATTGTTTTATTTGAAAAAAGAAAAATTATTTATTTTTTCAGATTTTCAACTTTTTAAAGTCACCACTTTATTTTTTGAGAAAAATCAAGAAAACTATATTTTCAAAAGAAATAAACAGAAAAATCATTTTGAAAACTTTAAAGGGGTTCGGGAATTCTTATTAGGAAGATTTTGAAAGCATCTAAGACGTTCGCTTACTTGCAGTTATCCGACAACTAATTCATTTGGCCAAACAAATAACTAATTTGATTTTTGAGGTAACGAAAAATACTTTAGAATTGTTTGAAAAGTGAAGCACTACTATGACCAATTAACTTGTAAAAATTTATTTCAAAGTTATTTTATTCGATTGGTTAAGTTGTTAAAACCGAAGCGGCGTTTTGCAAGGATTTGGATTCGTCAACCCTAAAACTAACAACAATTAATAAACAAGTAGTAAAGTGAGAGAGAAAAAAAGAGAGAGGGAGATAGGGTCGGGTCCAAAGCCAATTTTTGTTCGCCTGGACCGATATTTGGACCCATTTGTTTTTGCTTTAGGCTTTGGGCCTATTTGATTTGTACATGTCCTAAACTACTAAGATAATAATGTACAAAGGGTTTAGGCGCAAAAATAATTAAATACACTAAGTTCATGCCACTTTTTCAAATCTCCGACTTCTTGGCCTGTTTAGAATTTTTGCGACTTAGGACCTATTCACCGATTTCGGATTTTTTTCTTTGAACTTTCTAGCCGGCAAACTCGATAAAGGAAGTTGAACCTTAAATGCAAGAGGAATGGAGTCCATGAGGACTCAGAGGTAGATTTCACATGCAAAAAGATACAAACGCATAAGCAATATTCATAGCAATTCTTTAAGAAAAAAACAAGATTAAAAAAAATTGTAGTATTACGACACCTTCAGGACAAGAAACTCAAAAAAAGTAAAAAAAAAAAAGGGTTAGAAATAAAGGGGAAGTAATGAAATTTTAATAAATTACTGTCGATCCCAAAATGATAAAACAAACATCAATAAGCAATTCTCCTCTTTCCAAATGACCTCAAAGGATATTTTAATCTAACATCAAGCCGAAGATATATTAATTGAACCGACCAAAGAAGTTCAAACTTCGCATTGAAAATTACCACGTCTTGACAGTGAAAACGAGGAGAAAACTTTACAGACCATACAAAAACTTGGGGATCCCACATTTTCTAACGAGAAACAAGAAGCTTAACACCTAGAAAACTTGAAACTCAATTGTAGGTAGATACAAATATACTTAGACCATAAAAGTTACAGAGATGAACACAAAGATATATTATAAGGACACTTAATAAACTACCCACACAATGTGACCTAAACATACTATGTTAATGGGTCTAATATGTCTGCACTAAATAAGATCCGGAAATAACGAGCACGCTGCTGAACCGAAACTGAAATTGGAAGCTAGATTCACATGAAATCTACCTAGGACCACAAGTCACAAATATGTTTTCTGCCACAAAGATGCAAGCCGACTGAATCTTGACATCTAAGGAGACGAAACAAATTTTAACTAGCGTTTAATTGCAATAAGAATCAAACACTTGAAGCATGAGAGATGTCTTTCACAAAGATATAACTATAAATGGAGACGAAATAAATTTTAACTAGAGTTTTATTGCAATAAGAATCAAATACTTGAAGCATGAGAGATGCCTTTTACAAAGATATAACTATACATCAAAAGGCAGTGGGCACTAGAAGCAAATAACAACAAATGGAATAACAAAACTTACTTAGAGCAAATAACAACAAATGGAATATCAAAACTTTCGCAGTGAACTTCTTGAGAGGATTTTGTACTTGGGTAAAATTACATGGCATTAGGGGAGGGGGCCTAAGATAAAGGGTTATAAGTAACCAAATGAAGAAGAGACAAGTAACATCATGCTTCTTAGAACTTCCTAAAGAAAGATCAATTACAATCCAAACAAACAGGGCTTAACAAAATAAACGAAGTAGCAAAATAAAACATTTATAGACATATTAAGGAGCAAAGCATATCACATATAGAGGCAAATATGTGTCAGCAACACTTAACACCAAGAGCGTAGAACTAGATAGGCCGTAACACCATAAACTTGGAAAACAAGTAGTTGCATCAAACAAATAATAGATAACATGACATGTAGTTCCCGTATTAATCCGCTTCCAATGCTTTTACCTTATTCCCAAGTGTGAACAATATTAACAGCAGGAAAATATAACGACAAAAAAAGTAATAAAGCTTTTAGTCTTAAAGCCGATAATATACGAGAAAAGAGAAATCACCACAAAATCAAAACCAAGAAACGAAAGGAACCACCACTCTAAGATGTATAGCAATCCAAAAACTATCCAATCTTCTTCTTCTTTTTTTTTTTTTTAACAAATAGCAGAGGAGCGACGATCCTATAATAACTCTTCCGGCATTCAATAACATTATCTTTTAGATAGAAGAGAAGGCATTACTTTATTTTAACGCAACGAAACGGAGAAAATAACAAAAAACAACATCTCAGATAAATAGCTTTCGAAATCGACTTGATGAATATATTTATCACATTGAAACAACACCAACTTAATAGTAACCCTCAACGAAAGTAAAAAAACTTTTCAGTCAATTTAGAGATAAACGAAAAGATAGGAAGACGACATACCTCTTCCGGGGCAGCAAACGAGCAAGAGGAGGCAGCGGGTTCCTTCCAACAGCACACACAAACTTTTGAGAGCTCCGCCGAGCAGCTAGAATGTCTCAAAAGAAGCCTAAATACCCTCACTTATTTTGAAATCTATCTCTATTAAAGAAAACCCCCAAGTTCTTCTCTCAGACGTTTGTTTTCCGCCTTCCATCCCCTCCTTGGGATTTTTTAGGGTCAGGGTCAAAATGTTGATAAACCGGATAAGAACTAAAACCCAACAATTTCAAATTCCTAGCTTGAACAAGAGAATATACCAAATTGCGTCTATCGTCATATCCCTTTCTGATGCGTGTACGCGTGCTGCTCTTGTCGCAAGCGATTGACGCCTTCTCTTGCCGTTTTCTGGATTCCCGCTGGTGACGAGGGAAGAGGTCTTGGGTCGGATCATCTGCTTATGCTGAATTGTCAAGTGGGAGTTTCTGGAAAATTTTGGATTGGAATGTTCTGTAACATTGAACATTTACATTGAATTTGGTAAAACAAAATGGCAGAATAGAATCGAATTGAGTTGATTAACAAATTCGGCTAAAATTTAGATAAATTGAACTCACCAACAAGACAAAATAATTAACTCAAGCAAAAACTAAACACTCAAAAATATAAACTATTAAATTCCCCGAAATTTATTTTAACCAAGCGTGAAGTAAGACTAAAAACTAAAAGTCTCCTTGAGACGATTTTTGAATATTTTATAAAATATACTAATTATATACGTAATTACGTAAACTATATATATATATATATATTATGAAAAAGCGCTAAGATCAAATAAAAATAATTTGAAAACTATTTTCTTTTTTTATAAAACTTAATTATTTCAAGTAATTTAGAATTAAGAAGCTCGTTAACTAATTCCTATCGGGAATGGTCAAAATTTGGTGTCAACAAATATATATCAACTTCATGTTATTTTATTTAGTCGTTGCATCAGCATATTTTACAAATTCAGTGTGTTCAAATGTCATGTTTATTATGTATATTTTTCATGCTCGCTACATTCAAAATACTGACCACATAATTCTTCCTCATTGTGTTAGAATATAAGTTCAGGCACTCAAAATTATGCCCGCGATTAGCGCAGATCCAATCAATGTTGCAATTGCTAGTAGGTGAATTTTCATATTCCGAGGACAATCTTATCATTTATTTCGGTATTTACTTTGAGTTTCAAATATTAATACTTAGCTAGGAGTTTGTCATAGTAACTCATTTAGTAGAGATTTTGTAAATTCAACTTATGTCTTAAACTAGATATTTGTCTGTTGGAGTTTAATAGACTACTTCATTTTTGCACTTCCTTATTTTCGGTCATTATGTTATCTTAGTCTCATGCCATGTTATAATGTTAGCTTGAATCACTTATAGATTAACTTTAAGCACTGTGTCAAGTCTAGGGGATAATCTTGGGGCCTGACAATGTTGAAATAATATTTACTGTATAAATTCAAATTTGAAATTTGAAATAATATATCGATCTAAACATTAAAAAATGAAAATTATAAAGTAAATCTAAAATATATTTAACAAAACCGATTATAATTAATCCTTTTTATGCATAAAAGAATTAAACTATTATTTATTATGTTGATTTGGATTCGATCTGACTTTTCTTTTTCATTAATACAAAACCAAATCAAGAATTTGATTTTTTTTTTGTCTACGTCAAACAAACCAAACCAAATCATAAATTGGTTTCTATCTTTGATTTGATTTGATTTGTCAATTTGATTTGACTTGTACACCCCTAATTTTTATTTTATTTTTGCATATGAGAACCTCTAGATATTTTATAAATTAAAGCTACACATTTTGATCTTATTGGCATACATTTAATTTAAACAAAAATGGTACTTAAAATATAGAATTAGTGGCTTGGAGTATAATTAGAGAAGAAAGTTGTAAACCATAAATATGTAGTGAATGATTGACAAATATAATAAATTCTTCATTGAATAGTAACAAACCAATAAAATGAAAAGTAACCATTGAATTGTTTTCCCCAAAATAAGAGAAGACTTGTGAAAGAAAAATGCAAATTTAAGAAGAAAAAAAAAAGTAGCTAGGAATGGAAGTATTTAGGTCTGAGGGTCTCTCTTGGGCTGATCAATGGGATCCTGAATCTCCTGCTCCTCCACATAAGGATGACAAGAAGAAAAGCAAAAATGCTTCCAAAAACAAGTTTCTCAAATGGTTTAAGAGCCTTGGCAAGAAATCTAAAAATAAACAACAAGAATATGAACAACAATATTAATTAAGACAGGTTCCATAATTGTATATGGCACATGAATATGCACATTCTATATATTATGTATATGCATATCTCATATCCCTAGGTTATGTGTTAATTAATCAATATGCTTGTCATATGCCATATGTCATGAGGAATAAGTGCACATGATTATCATCATGTTTGTTATTGAAATTACTAAGTCATAATATATGTTTGTTAACTTTTCAAGGTTTTTTTTTTATTTGTTTCTTAAAGTACGAGTACAAATTTTTATATTTAGAATTTTTATTCTATATATTTTGAGGATATTGGGTTCAATTAAGCCCCAAGATCAAAAGCTTTGTTTGCCTTTGGATATGGTTGATTGATTGTAAAATGTATGAGCTTATCTTGATTATGTTGTCTTAAATTAAGAGTGGAAGTGAATTTATGAATTATGATGAAATGTTTTGTTATTGTGTGAGTCTGATGATATAGATGATAAAAAATATTTAATCGTGATTTATTCGATGAGAAATTTACTCTAATTTAAGTTATGATAGATTATATTTTAGTAATCAAGACATACTTTACATCAATATTCACCATCACCTATTATAGGGATGGGATATGGGGCGGTATGGAGCGAGGAAGGGTATAAAAATCAAAGACAATAGCAAAATAATGTTTAAAAAGGGAATTATTGGACGAGGTGGGTCACACCATTAATAAGGTATTAACGGATTACGATAAAAAATATTGTTTAAAATTACGTCAGGATTCGTATCAACAAATATATCCATGGACTATAGCACATCAAAAATGGTAAAATTCAGGTTTTCCCACTCTAGGCCTCGTCTGAACTTGTATTTTGTATAAAGTGAAAGAGAGAGATTTAATATGCAAATGTTTTGTTTCGATTCAATTGTATACAAATTAAAATTCTATACAAATTTACAAACACATAAAATTGAATTGAGACGCTGCCAGCGATTTTATACAAATCTAATTCCCCTAACGATTTATACAATTTGATGCTCCGTAGCAAACATTAGTGATTCTATACAAATCTAATGCCCCTAACGATTTATACAATTTGATGCTCCATAGCAAACATAAAGTTTGCTATGGAGCACAATTATGTAAACTATAGCTATAATATACAAATATGATTTTTATGTTTGCTAAATGTGAACGTTGCTCTATTTAAAACTCCAAACTCTTAACTCTAACTTTGCCTCGGACAAATTACAAAGTCTCATGAAATTTAAAATCCCGAATTTTTAACCCTAGCTTTAAATCTGTTAAATTACAAAGTTCGAAATTCGAAGATAATAGATCTATCCCTCTATTTTCCCCCGAAAATTTATATATATATACACGATCAATAAGTCATAACAATAATTAATTTGATAGTGTTATGCTGGAATATTCACCAAAATTGTATTTATTACATTTTATAAATTATTTGCTGAAAAAACTACAATTAAATGTTTCATTGACCATTTGAAAATTGAAAATTTGTTTTGAAATCTAGTTACTTCTATTAATATCAATTTGCATATTTTAAACAAAGATCTTAATTAACCACATTATAAGATAGGATTGTATTAAAATCACAATCAATGTTTCTTTATTTTTTCCTCCTATATAAATAGGGGTAGGTCCATTAACCTTTCATTATAATTTTGTGGTCTAAGTAATCAAAGAAATCAAATGGTGGCTACCTCTTTGATTCTTACCTCATTTTTTTTCATATACTCTTCTCTCCATCCTCTTCACATCTACACTCTGTGAAGGGCGATTTAGTTACTGATGTTTGTATTAAGACGCCCGTTTCTTCCTTGTGTGAGAAATTCTTACGATCAGACCCTCATTCCAAAACCATTGATCTTGAAACCCTAGGTTTGATCACACTCAACATGACTACGGACCTCATCAAATCAACATCAACCCTAGTGAATTCTCTCATTGATAAAACGAAGAACGCAAAATTGAAAGAATTATACACTTCATGTTCATGGTTTTATACATTTGTAGAATATAGTAGAGAAAGCGCGATCGGATATTATGGTATTAAAAAATACAAACGAGTAATTTATTTTAGGCTTAAGTCATCAGCGGCCCCTTAAAGTTGTCTGCATAATTCACTTAGACACCTTAACTAAGACTAGTACAAATTGAACACTTTTACCTATACAAAAATTGTTCCTATTAGACATTATTTGATAATCATCAAGAAATGTAAAGAGTGTGTGATACACTTGCGGTGACGTGGCAAAATGACTAATTAAAAAATAACATTTAGCATTGGGCCCCGAAAATTATAAAAAAAATAACACATTTAATATTTAATTTTTTAAAAAAGAAAAAGAAAAAATAAAAATGTCAACCTATTCTACCCCACCTTATCTCACCCCACCCCACCCTCTTTTCATCTTCATCTTCATATTCTTCCCAAAAATACATTCTTTCTCAAATTACAAAATCTTATTCTTTTCCAATAACTTCAAGATTAATTTTTTTTTAAAAATAAAATAATATTTATATATATATATATATACACACACACACATACACACGTCTTCATCTTCTTCCCCAAAACACATTCTTTCTCATACTAAGCGTGAAGAAGAAAGAAAAATTTGTTGGCGGTTATTCAACTCTACATCGATGACATTGATAGCTCCAAAATTATTTCTTTGAAATTCTTTGATATCGTTTTTGATAAATTCAATAAACATATATGAATTTGAGTAAAAAATTTTGTTCGAAAATTGTGATAAATAAATATCGGCTAACTTTTTTTATATGTAAAAATCATTTATCTTCTTTCATCTTCTTAATATTTGTTCCTTGTTTTTATGAGATTTGAAATAAATCATACGAAGACTTTATTTCAAATCAGAATCTTCATTGTTGATTTTCATTTATATTCATATTTGGAAGATATAGATTTTTTGTATATATAAAAAAAAATGTTGGAGCTAAAATGAAGAAAGTTTTGTAAACTAAAGTATGAAGAAGATGATAGGTAGGGAGTGGGGTGCTTTCCTTTTTTGAAAAAGGTGTAACTAAAAGAAGAAAAATATTTTTTAAGTTAATTATAATGCCAAATGTCAATAAAAGAAGAAAAAATGTAAAAAAAATAAAAAAGACATTGTTTTAAGTCTTTTCACGCGCTTCAGGGAAGTGCAATACACATTTTCTGCCATGTCAGCATTTTATGTCTAATAGGTACATGTTTGAACAATTTAGGTGTTCAATAAGTACAAGTCTTAATTGAGGTGTCTAAGTGAATTATGCGGACAACTTTAAGGGGCGATCGATGACTTAAGTCTTTATTTTATGACTGAATCGATAGGTGATGTACGTGCATGTGACTATGGCTTTACTCATAAATCAATACACGAACAAGATGAGAAGCTTAAACAAGCTAGTTTA